GGTACAATTGACTTGGGCGGGTGTGATGTATACCACACTTGAGATCGCCATCGGTTTGGCCAGGTTTGACGTGGACCACACCAAGATCGCCATAATGCGTGGTAGTCGATCTTGATTGATTGGAACTGATAGCGCCCAGTCTCGGAATATTCTGAATCTGCTTCACCACAGAAACGTGTTCATTCTGCGATAAGAAACCGCACTGGTGCTGGCAAGGTCGAAGAGCAGGTTGCTGTGGCTCACAATCCCGCAGTCGCAGCCCTCGAATTGAACCGCGAACGCCAACATTTCGAAGTGTTCATGGTTACTCAGCATATAACGACGGATCTGGGCGAGAATGCTGTGACCACAGAAGTCACATATAGAGACGGGAACGGGAGCGCAAACGAAGGTGATGATAAAAATGAGGAGCTGACAGACGCAGAAATTATCGAGCAAGAGGTATGAATGTTGCGTTAGCTCTGATCTCTGTTTCACGAGGGATTCCATATCATCTTCTTTTCCCATAACAAGAGGAGTAGAAAGTATTCTTTTCCAGAAAAGAGAGCGTAGCTTCTAAACGTTTAAATGTCTTTGGTCTGAAAAGAACGCGTTAAAAACGTTTAAAACAGCGTTATTTTTTCATCATAGAAAACGTACCAATCCTTAAGCTTCAGAACAGTTTGTATGGTATTTGTAGAATGCTGTGCGGTTTGCATTTTGAAAAAAACAAACCCTACTAATCGGTTTGAAAAGGGTGATAAAGTCCATTCAGTAACATGTGACAAGTTTCCGCTACGAAGTGAAATCCTTTTGTTGAAAGCCACCCCTCGCGGCGACAATGTTACTGAATTTTGTAGCTACAACATCGCCAGTGTATCACCACGGCGCTCATTAAGTCCGCGCTGCGGCTACAAAATGCATAATACGCTGTAATATACAAATACAAGGCGTCTTATTTTTGTTTAACTCCCCGGTATTAAACATGTGGCGGGGCATCAAACTGCTTCAACTAGAACATGTAATAGGAACACCGGACCACGAACCAATGTACGTGGAGCATGAACGCGAGCAGATGCTTTCAGAAAGACGTAAATTTGAAAAAAACCGTAATCAGACCCACGGCGCAGCAACATTTATTTTTAACGCCACCCGCCTACGTCATTTTCGGTCCCAGAAACCCGTCAGGGGGGGGGGGGGCATGGGAAAGCCAAACGGAAATTCCCGTACAGTCAACAGCATGGTCGATATTAGAGGACCGTGCGCGTACGATCGCTGCGAGGCTCTGGCTGACGAGGAGCTGGTCGTGGAGCCCTGCACGGTGTGTTAGAAGGGTGTTCATCATTTCTGCTCTAACATTTTACTCGACGGCGGGCTAGAAGCACGTGTGTGCTCTATTACCTGCCGTGATCCGTGTTCGAAGACGCCAGCTCAAGCAGGGGGATCCATTTGAGCCAATCCGATCAGAAACTACCTCCGGGGCAACAAAGCACAAAACGCTCTACAGAGAGCAAACCTAACGTGGGATCTAAGAGGGCAAAGCAAGTACGTGGTAGACGATCGAAAACAGCAAGGGATACTGTCAGAGCACCATCAACAGCCATCACGTCTAAGAATGATCGAAATACCAGGCCCACACCGCATTGTCAATCTCGTAAGGAGCGAGTCCTTGTCGTTCAGTATTTTAAACCACAAGCAAGCGGTGGGATTGCACTGATCAATGTCAATCCGCAAGAACATGAAGATGCGCCCGCAATTCGGTGTGAAGGAATTGAGAACAAGCGTCGTGTTAGCCCTAAGAACTCCGAGAGGCTTGACATGCGATTCAGTGCCTCAGATGATGATGCAGCTCTCTCCCAGAACGAACATGCTGTGGTATTTCGGGGTTATACTGAAGCCGCAAGCGAAAGCAATGATGAAGATGAAAGGGGTGAGCTGAAATGGTCCGAGGATACTGCGCAAGCGAAAACCCAACAAAAAAGCACCAAAACGTCAGACAGCAAGAAGCCCAACAAGACGACGAAGATTTTTTTTTCACGCAAGAGGCTGATCTAGCGCTTTGAAGAAGATGCTAAACCTCGAACCTTACGCTGCTGGCCATGGAAAACAGGCATAGCGTTACCACCAAGTCACTGGCAACTTGAGCGAACATCTCAAGGTGAAATTGAACGATCGTACGATGAAGGAACGGTTGAAATTGCTAGTCGCTGATTTCAAAAGCGAAGACCAGTCTTGCCGAAAGAAGTTTGGGGTTTCTGAGACGTAC